AACAATAAAAAACACATAAAACATAACAAACAACAATACAAAAACAATCATCCAGGGGTAAGGTTTTATAAACCCCAACCGGTCGTAAGTTGAGGACTACTCAACCGATCGTAAGTCGAGGACTATTCAACTGATGCAGCACCGTTTGCAGAATGGGACTTTTGGCTGGCTTAGCAGGACAGAGACAGCCTGGACAATTCCTATTGGCTTTTGAAAGCCAATAGAATTAAGACTCTATTCAAGAGAGTCTATTCTATTGGCTTTCAAAAGCCAATAGATTAAAAGGGAGTAGCACAGCTAAGGAAAAGGGGGTAAAAATGGCGGACTGCGTTGTTTGGCGACCCCCGTGAAATGGTCGTTCGACCCCAAATGGGGCCCGACCCACAGGTTGAGAACCACTGCATTAGAGTGTTAATAGTCTCTAGTCTAATCAATACTGTATAACTACCACTATCAAAATAATATATGATACAATAATATATGATACAATATATATTCCCCTTTATGGATTACTGCCTTGTCGTGGCGAAGGGGCTTGTGTAACTCAATGAAGCTATAAGCTATGCCATGCAGGGCCACCCAAGATGGACAGGTTATAGCAGAGAGTTCTGACAAAATGTGATCCACTGGAGAAGGAAATGGCAAACCACTCCAGTATCTTTGCCATGAAAACCCCATGGACAGTACTAAAAGGAAAAAAGATATGACGCTGGAAGATGAGCCCCTCAGGTCGGAAGGTGTCCAATATGCTACTGGGGAAGAGCAGAGGGCTAGTACTAGTAGCGCCAGAAAGAATGAAGCGACTGGGCCAAAGCCGAAAGGACGCTCAGCTGTGGATATATCTGGTGGTGAAAGGAAAGTCCGATGCTGTAAAGATTTTTTCTCCATAGGAACCTGGAATGTAAGATCCATGAATCAAGGCAAGCTAGACGTAGTCAAAAAAGAGATGACAAGACTGAACATTGACATCTTAGGAATCAGCGAACTAAAATGGACAGGAATGGGTGAATTTAATTCAGATGACCATCAGGTATACTACTGTGGGCAAGAATCCCTCAGAAGAAATGGAGTAGCCTTCATAGTCAATAAAAGAATAGGAAAAGCAATACTGGGATACAATCCCCAAAATGACAGAATGATCTCAATTCGAATCCAAGGCAAACCATTCAATATCACAATAGTCCAAATCTATGCCCCAACCACTGGTGCTGAAGAGGATGAAATTGACCGGTTCTATGAAGCCCTACAGCACCTTATAGAATTAACACCAAAAAATGATGTCCTTATCATCATGGGGGATTGGAATGCTAAGGTAGGAAGCCAAAAGATAACCGGAATAACAGGCAAGTTTGGCCTTGGAGTACAAAATGAAGCAGGGCACAGGCTAATAGAATTTTGTCAAGAGAATACGATGGTCATAACAAACACTCTTTTCCAACAACCCAAGAGACGGCTCTACACATGGACATCACCAGACGGTCAACATAGAAATCAGATTGACTATGTGCTCTGCAGCCAAAGATGGAGAAGCTCTATACAGTCAGTAAAAACAAGACCAGGAGCTGACTGTGGCTCAGATCATGAGCTTCTCGTTGCAAAATTTAGGCTTAAATTGAAAAAAGTAGGGAAAAGCACTAGGCCACTCAGGTATGAACTAAATCATATTCCTGATGAATATACAGTAGAGGTGACAAATAGATTTAAGGAATTAGATCTGATACACAGAGTGCCTGAAGAACTATGGATGGAAGTTTGCAACATTGTACAAGAGGTAGCAACTAAAACCATCCCAAAGAAAAAGAAATGCAAGAAAGCAAAATGGCTGTCTGAGGAAGCTTTGCAAATAGCTGAGGAAAGAAGGGAAGCGAAAGGCAAAGGAGAAAGAGAAAGATACACCCAATTGAATGCAGAATTCCAGAGAATAGCTAGAAGAGATAAGAATGCCTTCTTAAATGAACAGTGCAAAGAAATAGAAGAAAACAACAGAATAGGGAGGACCAGAGATCTCTTCAAGAAAATTGGAGATATGAAGGGAACGTTTCATGCAAAGATGGGCATGATAAAGGACCAAAATGGCAGAGACCTAACAGAGGCAGAAGAGATTAAGAAGAGATGGCAAAACTACACAGAAGAACTATACAAGAATGAGCTTAACATCCCAGATAACCACAATGAGATGGTCACTGACCTCGAACCAGACATCCTAGAATGTGAAGTGAAATGGGCCTTAGAAAATCTGAGCAACAACAAAGCTAGTGGAGGTGACAGTATTCCAGCTGAGCTATTCAAAATCTTAAAAGACGATGCAGTAAAAGTGCTACACTCAATTTGCCAGCAAATTTGGAAAACTCAACAGTGGCCACAGGATTGGAAAAGGTCAGTTTACATTCCAATTCCAAAGAAAGGCAATGCCAAAGAATGTTCAAACTATCGCACCATTGCACTCATTTCACATGCTAGTAAAGTTATGCTTAAAATCCTACAAGCTAGACTCCAGCAGTATGTGGATCGAGAACTACCAGAAGTACAGGCAGGATTTCGAAGAGGCAGAGGAACTAGAGATCAAATTGCCAACATACGCTGGATCATGGAGAAAGCTAGGGAGTTCCAGAAAAACATCTACTTCTGCTTCATTGACTATGCTAAAGCCTTTGATTGTGTGAATCACAACAAATTGTGGCAAGTTCTTAAAGAGATGGGAATACCAGACCATCTTATTTGTCTCTTGAGAAACCTATACGCGGGTCAAGAAGCAACAGTGAGAACTGGACACGGAACCACTGATTGGTTCAAAATTGGAAAAGGAGTCCGGCAAGGCTGTATACTGTCGCCCTGCCTATTTAACTTATATGCAGAGCACATAATGAGAAAGGCAGGGCTAGATGAAACAACAGTTGGAATTAAGATTGCCGGGAGAAATATCAACAACCTAAGATATGCAGATGATACCACTCTAATGGCAGACAGTGAAGAGGAACTAAAGAGCCTCTTGATGCGGGTGAAGAAGGAGAGTGCAAAAGTTGGCTTGAAACTCAACATTAAGAAAACCAAAATCATGGCATCCGGCCCTCTCAATTCCTGGCAAATAGATGGGGAAGAAATGGAGGTAGTGACAGATTTTATTTTTCTGGGCTCCAAGATCACCTCAGATGGGGACTGCAGCCAAGAAATTAAAAGACGCTTGCTCCTGGGGAGGAAAGCTATGGCAAATCTAGACAGCATACTAAAAAGCAGAGACATCACCCTGCCAACAAAAGTGCGTATAGTCCAGGCCATGGTTTTCCCAGTTGCAATGTATGGCTGTGAAAGTTGGACCATAAGAAAGGCTGAGCGCCAAAGAATTGAGGCCTTTGAACTATGGTGCTGGAGAAGACTCCTGCGAGTCCCTTGGACTGCAAGGCGTTCAAACCGGTCAGTCCTAGAAGAGATCAACCCCGACTGCTCTTTAGAAGGCCAGATCCTGAAGTTGAAACTCAAATACTTTGGCCACCTAATGAGAAGGAAGGACTCACTGGAGAAGGGCCTAATGCTGGGAAAGATTGAGGGCAATAGAAGAAGGGGACGACAGAGAATGAGATGGCTGGATGGAGTCACTGAAGCAGTAGGTGTGAACTTAAATGGACTCCAGAAGATGGTAGAGGACAGGAAGACCTGGAGGAACGTTGTCCATGGGGTCGCGATGGGTCGGACACGACTTCGCAATTAACAACAACAACAACAATATATATTAATACATTACTTATGCCTTAAGCTACATTCATTATAATAAACTACTTAACAGCAGCCATTTTAACATGCTGCAGACTTGTGCTTCATCCAACTGTAGTCCAGCCAGCAGCCACTCTATTACACCTTATTTTTATTGCAGCTGATCACTGTATAGTAATGCTGCCCCCTCCTTCCATTCATTATGTATTTTGAATTGTAAAGTTAAGGAAGGGATCATCTCACTAATCACCTAAGCTTCTCCTCATTAGTATATATCAAGACTGATCACATGATGTTTACATTTTTGCTTATTCTCACATGCAATTTACAATTGGTAATATTTCCAAAGCAGAATTCAGTTACATTCCTCTAGTGAGCCCTATGATTATAAAGAAATTGTGGCAGACAACGTTAGAAAAACTTTTGACCTAATTAACATTTTCCCAAATCAACAGCCTCATATGACATTACCACAGGGAGCTTTTATATACAGAGATTAGAACTGATAAACTAGCTTAATTCAAATAATCATGTTTGCTTTTATCAGTTCTATCACTTCTATCCCATTGATTGGATTTGGGTAGATCAGGCTAAAGATTTGCCTAATGTTTTCTAGCAAACCAATTAATATCGTTGGTTTTTGTTAATTTAGTTAGAGGTTTGTGGTGTTTTTATTTTGGTTCCAGGTTACAAACTATACTGAGTCCTAGACAGTAGATAATAAACAAAGTTTTACACAAATAAAGGGATATTAACATGGTAATTCATACATCTGGAAGTAATGCCAGTTCACTAAAATGTGTCATAATAAAATGCTTAGCACTTATCGTTCCAGAGGATACTGTATTGTTGAAAACAAGTAATATTACCTCGCTGCAAATACGCTTTATTTCTGGGACACCTAGTGTGTAACTTTTCCTCCAATTATTCTTAGGTTACGATGTAAGTTCGTACTATATTCAGTGGGACTTACTTCGAACTAGACATGAATATGAATAATCTGCTAGTCACTCTTTGGTTCACACCAAACTTCTCCAACTCCATTAATAACACAGCTCCTTCCCTTCCGAGACGAGGTTTCACGACCAGAGACATGGCTGGATTCAACCGCCCTGGGAAATCCTCCTCCTCCGGGGGCCCTGCAAAGAGTTCTACCTGCCCTGGCCATGCATCCGTTCTACGACGCCACCTCGTTTCGCCAACAACAGCGTGAGAAAAAAAAAGTAGCCTCGCCATCTCTACCAACAGGCACCCAAAACCTCTCCACCGGCCCCTTTTGCTACGCTACGCACCTCAAACACCACTTCGTCGTCAAACTCCGGTGTCATCCTTCTCCGCCATCCGTTCCCGTCTCCTCAGGCACCATGGGAAAGCGAGTCCGCCGATCCCGGCGTTATAATCCCCCCCCCCACAAAACCCCACCGCGGTGGCCCAACAATATGGCTACCCAATAGCCACTGCGGGAAGAAGGGGAGGAGAAGAATCTGTGGTGTTGCTGCGCAGATTGAAGGCAGAGGAGGTCTTTCGAAGCAGGGGGGCGCCTGTACTGATGGCATTTGGCCTGTAGAGGTCTCTGTGTTGCAAACCAGGGAACTTTGCTAAGACGGCAACGACCGTCAGTGCCCGTTCGGTCAGTCAGTTGCGCTCTTCCTCTCTTCGCTGCGGGAATATTATGCAGGAACCGGAGCGACAGGCTGCGCTTTTCGGTGGACTTTACCCTTCTATGCAGCCACTCTGAGAAGAATTGTTATGTTTTAAAGAGGGAGAAGGAGCGGATCAAGGCAAAACGCATGGAAGGGAGGCACCATGAGTTCAGCGGGTGAGTGCTTGACATAATGAGCGGGGCGCGAAGAAAAGTGCTGGGAACTTTTCTGCGTACTGGCGACCGACACCGGACAGATGTGGAGGATCCAAGGGCTGATTTTAAAAATGCCCCACAACCAGCTGAGCATGAGGTGCATAATAGGAGGAAATGACTTCTCCTCCTCAGCCCTCTCCGCTCCTTGCTCCTGTTCCTTAAAGTCCCAACAGAGATGGGAGGTGGCTTAAGGGTCTACTTGTGAGAAACTCCTCAGGATTGAAAATGCAACTTTTTTTCCTTGTCTCGCGTTTGTCTTCAGTTCTGAGTTCTTTGTTTCATTACCCAAAATAGGTTAGGTAACTTCAACAGTGCTAGTTAGTTTGTTATCTAGTTTGGGTAATAAAACGTCTGCAGGAAAACAACCAAGCTCAGAGAGCACCAAGGACCCCTGAGTTCTTTGTTTTCTTATCTTTCTTGAGTGAAAAGCGGGGTGAGCGAGTGAAAAGATCAACTGCCCTAGAAAGAAACAGTTTCCATGACTTGCATGCCCTCATTCACATTTACTTTACTTCGCAGCCCCTGTTCTTATATGTTTGTGAGATCTATGTTATTAAGTTTTCCTAGTCGTATTCCTCTGAGTGACAGCAGAGAGTGAAAAAGTAACTTTTCCTGAACTCTCTAATATTGTCTAATAAAGTGTATTTTTTCCCCTTGTGATCTTATTAATTGGGAAAAGGATCCTTCGGCTGAACTACACTTTCCTTCGTTGTTGCCAGGATTGATAAGACCGGTGGGCTAACACATCTGGAGGAACGCTGAAATAAACAAAGCCCCAATTTCCTGCCTTCTGTAGTTGGAAAAGAATCCATTTTTTCTGTTTTCTTTTCCCATCCTTTTTGGGTATACAGAGATCACCTTAAATAGACCCAAGAAGTAAGTGTATGGGGGGAAAAAGATTTTCAGCTTTTTCCAGGCAAGAAGACTTAAGGATTAAAACATTTATAGGATTTGTGTTTTATATCTAAGAATTTAGATCGGTCTTGTTTGTAGCCGTATTTTTGAAGTTGTGTAAGGGAATGATTTAAGGTGTCCTTTGTTCAACAGTTACATAAATACGTTGGGGCAATTGTAAAGGGCAATTTGGTATTAATACTCTTTGTTGACATTTTGAATAGTGAATATGTAATTAACTCTAAATCTGTTAACTGCAAATAAAAGAGTTCAGGAATGGATTTATAATACTAAGAATTTTCTGATTTAAACTTTGCTGTGCCAATCAAAAAAGGAAGTTGTTTATAATTGTTTTCTTATCTCTGCCTAAGTCATTGACATAGTTTTTGCTGTTATTTTAATGTGAATGCCATTGCTCCTCAGAGAAAACATACATTGTTTCTTTTTCAAATGTGGGAATTCACACAATAATTGGTCTGCAATGTGTTTTTAAATAGTGTATTTTGAGAATAAACCAAAGTTTTTTTTAATTAAAAAAAACCTGGTGATGACCTGAAGATTACGTATTTATTTACTATAGAACAATGGTATACATGTTTATTCAAAAATAAATTCCAGGGGAATCAGTGGAGCTTAAAAGGTGCCTTCACTTGACACACTAAATAGCAGGCTACCCAATTACATTTAAATAGCATATTTTAAAAATACAGCCCTCAAAATTAGTTTATGGTCACTGTTGTGAAAACAGCTATTTTTGGGGAGCATGTAAAATTGAACTTAATCAGAAAATCAGGCACTGGTAGACATATAATTATGATAGAGTTTCATTTTGGATACTACTATGGCCAGTACTTTGTTCACATCATACTTAATTGCAAATAATTGCATTTACAGTTTTCTTCTTGAACTTAACTTTGGAATTCATTGTTTTCTTATAAATATATATATAGAATTGAAGCCATGGCTAGAAACTTATAGTGTGCTTCACTCTGGAGACTGGAGACTGACCTAATAAAATGTAATTGTGATATTTTGTTCTTTGGGTTTAGGAGCTGTCAGTACTAAAGTGCTCTGAATAATAGTACTTTACTGGGAAACATACTACATTTTCATTAGCAGTGAAGTAAACAATTGGATAAAAAATAGTTGTTAAGCAATTTCATTGTAAAGTGTGTACATGTATCTATAATTACCTCTTCATGTTGTTTTACTGGGATGAAGAAATGGAACATGAGATGGTTTATCTGGATACAGATATTTTAGTCTGTTTCTGTAAACATGTATACACTCTTCTTATATTTGTATGCTGTATTTTATTAGTATATAAAGTTGTACATTAGTATTTATGAACTCATTTTTGTATGAACTAACCAGAATTGCATGATTATACAGCTTCCTTTTTTTTTCTATGCAGGAATAAATAATATTTCTATATCAGGAATGAGCACAGTCATACTAGCTAATGATAGACATGAAAAGTGGCCTGGAAAAGTCATAGAATCAATATAGCCATTTAGTCTAGAAATTTATGGGCCTTTGGAATTTAAATGCATACTGAAAGCACCACTAGATTTTTGATAGTGATTGTTGTCTATGGGATTAAGTCTATATAGGAGTAAAACTCAAACTCTTATCTGTTATCCATTTGGTGACGCTGACAAATAGTTTATATTCTGAGTGAACTCTGGACTTTGTAAACTATCACTAGGTCTAATTGCTACTTTTTTTTGGGAGAATTACACTTGTATGAGATGCAATGCTAAATACATACATTTACCATTAATGGTAAATGTTAATGCTATTTTGCTTTAGGTGTCTTAATATTTAATGCAACTTTCTTTGTGATATTTCTTATTTTTTAAGTATATAACATACCTTAAGCAAGATCAGGAGGGCCAAGGCATTAGATCTGAATTTCTTTCAAGATATATCTAATGATTTGCAATAAATTGATAAATTTACTACAAATCATTTGATATCTTGAAGAAATTGTGGTTAAAAACATCACCTTCCTTCTAAATTAGGCTGCTCTAATGAAGCCGATTTGGAGCTTATCAGAAGTGTCTTTTTGTTTGCTGGGGCCTGATAGGTCAATCCAGTTTCTGATAAAATTTTGATTCAGCCTTGTGTTTGAAGGCATTCAGTTCATTAGTTATAGTAATGTCTGCCCATTGGCTTTAATTATTGGATTTTGAATTCCCAGGAAAATGGATTACCATTTTACCCATTAGTTTAAAATAAGATTGGAAACATTCGTGAATAATACTGTGTTTGAACTGATCAACACTAATGATTTAGCTTCCCTAATAACTGTCAATTTAGAAACTAAAGGAAAGCCATACTTTTCCCCCCAAAAAAGTCAGTGTTAATTTCAGTTATTTTTTCAGATTCATCTATTTTCTTTTAATTTTCTCTAGTATTCATGTTTTGTCTATATGAATAACATTGAAAATAAATTCTTCATTGAATCAAAGCTTGGTGATAAACCATATAGATTATCTCCTTTGCGGTGGCTTTGAAGAAGAAATACAGAACTGACTTTTAAAATAGTAGAGTATTACTGTAAAGGACTAATTAGTAATTGTATTGTTCGATCAAGCCCATATCTCTTACTTTTATTCCTTGTCATATAGTTGTTGCATAGTTGTTTGTAGGTATATTTTGGAATATTTTTAAGTTTCTTCATTTCTGTTTAATTTTTTTTACAGATTCATAACTGCCATATGAATTGTAGAAAGAATTGTTTTTGCTTTTAGTAATGTTATATATTTTCCTAAAGCAATATTGGCAATAGAAGTAAAAAGGAAGTGCAACAAACATTACATTGCTACTAAACAGCTATTTTTAATAAATAGAGGTAGTCATCAATTTGCAATCATTGGTTTGGTGACCTTTTGAAGTTACAATAGCACTGGAAAACTGACGATACTTGCACTTACAACCATCACAGCATCCCTATGGTCATATGATCAAAATTTGTGTGGTTGACATTTGGAATGTATTTATGATGATTGCAGTATCCCAGGATCTTATGATTATCATTTGTGACATTCCCAGCCTGCTTCCAACAGCAAAATCAATGGGGAAAGTCAGATACCAACCTTGGAAGGGTGGAAGGCTGAATCAACCTTGAGCCAATTGAACTCCTGCAGTGTGCAGAATTAGCCTGCAGTACTGCATTCTGACCACTGTATCGCCACAGCTCCTGGTAGAAGCCAGTCAAGACAAAACTAGCATTGTTCTGGAATTGAAAATCAGCTTCAGATCTTGATTTGAAAGTTGTTTGAAAGCTAGGCAGAGGTAACATTGTGTCATAGTTACTTCTGACATTGCAAGAGATAGAGTGTATGAGTTGAGATCTGCTTCTACTTTTAATTCTCATTAATTGAAGAAAAGTGTTGTTTTCAGTGTTCTTTTGCGGAGTGTTGGCATCTTCTAAACTAAGATGTTCATTGAGAGGCAAAATACATGATTATGAAGAGAGAAGATTAAGTCTGTCCAAATTTCTTTTTTTTAAAAGCTACTCTTGGTTGAACACTGTAAGTATATTACTGTTTGCAGGTACATTAAATTGGAACAAAACTTACCTAAATGCAGTTGGCTTAATTCTTGTAGACATTGCATAAGATTCCACTCTTATAGTTTTGGTGCTTATAGAATTTCTATTTATTTTCAGATTGTGTTAAGTTAGTGTTATTTCCTGTTAG